ATCTCCATTCCTGCCCCAGGCCGCAGCCTTTGCCCCCCCCAAACCCCTCATCTGCCCTCCCGCCCCGGGCTCACCCCTGGCACTTCACCCTCCACCTGACCCAGTGTCTAAACCGGGGCTATGGGGCTGTAGACATTGGGCCCCCAAGTAATACCCCCCCCCCCCGTATTGTGTTGGGCAGAGCCCCCCTTTAAATGCCGGCCTAGTTATTCTGCGAGTTTGCTAGAGATGCTCCTATTGCCGTCCCGGCATTTATGGCTGTGGTCATAAAGTGTTCATTATAATCTCCCCCCCACACACACACACACCCCGCAGCTGATGGTCAAATAAAAAAAGTCATCCTGCTGTTGTTAGTTTATTAATCCGCGTTTAGACGCTACCAAACATTTTTTTAAAAAGCCGTTCATTGTGTCTGAGTGTAAAGCAGGGTGCACTGCCCTTGGGGACTTTGGCTAAGGTTTTGGAAAGTGGCTAGTAGTTTCGTGCCTTGTATGGTGCCAAGTATCAGGGGGTCGCTGTGTTAGTCTGTATCCACAAAAACAACGAGGAGTCCGGTGGCACCTTAAAGACTTCAGATGCAACTGAAGAAGTGGGTTTTTTACCCACGAAAGCTTATGCCCAAATAAATCTGTTAGTCTTTAAGGTGCCTGTGACACAGTAGGGAGCGGGGCAGATTTGACCTGGGAATGTTGCAGGGAAGTTGCATTGGGGATGGGGGACTTCCCTTGAAGAAAGCTACCTGAGCCAGGAGGGGGGTTGGGAGAAATAACACCTTCTGCCCGGGAGACTGAACAAAGGAGAGGAGGAGCTGGGGGGAGGGGGAAGAGAGGAGCTGCGGGAGGAGTTTTGGGTTTGGGCTGGGTGGTGCAACGCAGGGAACCCCAAGCTGGGGTCTAAGCTCCCTAAACCCCCCAGAAGGACTTGATTGAGGGGTTCTGGTTGTACCTACACGCTCTGCTTGGGACTGTGTTTCTGTCATCTAATAAACCTTCTGTTTTACGGGCTGGCTGAGAGTCATGGTGAATCTCAGGAAGAGAGGGGTGCAGGGCCCTGACTCCCCCACACTCCGTGACAGTGCCACAGGACGACTCCTAGTAGTTTTGGGTATCCAACTTCCGGCACCTTAAAAAGGCCTTCTTTTTGGGAAATGCTGACCTCGTTCACTTCCTCCGTGTCGTCAGAGATTGAATGTAACTGAAAACTTGACCACTATGCTTCTCTGCGTCTCTGTCCTTAGGGCTCAGCTTTCACCCTAAGCGACCCTGGATCCTAACGAGTTTGCACAATGGAGTGATCCAGCTGTGGGATTACCGGATGTGCACCCTTATTGACAAATTTGATGAGCATGATGGTGAGTAAGTTTGGAGTCTGAAAGAATCGAATGCAGAAGGCTTGTTGCCAGGGCTTTGGAGCGGAGCCTGGAGTGCAGAGCAACTCTGGAGCAGTGGAGCTGCAGGTTTTTGGCTGGAGCGGAGCCGGAGCACAGCTCCAAAGCCCTGCTTGTTGCAGAAAATGGCGCATCCTTGAGAGGAGGAAGGATGGGCTTTTGGTTGAAGCACTGGATTAAGCTGCAGGAGGTCTGGCTTCAGGTCCTAATGGTGTCACCGACTCCATGTGTGATCATGAGCAAACTGCTTACTTCTTGAACGTGCTTTTCCAGCTGTAAAATAGGGAAAATACTTCACAGCGCTGTTATGACGCTAACTTCGTTATTGTGTAAGAGGTGTCGGATGTTATGGTGCTGTAGCTCTATAACCACACAGAAGAGAACTTCTTTGCATTGGCCTGGGGGGGAATGCTGTCTCAGAAAGTTGTATTTGACCTCGGAGTATCACGTTGAGACAATTTATCAGATTAAAATGGAGTTTGACGTGATAGAATTGTTCTGCTCTGAATGGAACGGCCTGTTCTGGCTGTCGGTTTGGCTCCATATACAGATATTAGCTGTCTCCCTGTGTTTCACCTGCTTCTTCCCCCTGCAGGACCAGTCCGAGGTATTGATTTCCACAAACAGCAGCCACTCTTTGTCTCTGGAGGTGATGACTACAAAATAAAGGTAGATCAACTCTTCCTTCCATTTTCCATCCCCTCAAAAAGTGTTGGTGGGCAAAGGAAGATGGGAAATTTGACAAAGATGTGTAAGGAATGTGTGTTAATTTAGTTTTCTGTGGAGGGTGAAGAAACGGTGAGCAGATAGAGAGGAAAAAGGGAAGTGTAGAATTCAGGATTTTGCTCTTTCTGAGGGCGGTCGGAGTAATTAAATGCAGCCTGACAATTTCTGTTGAGATCTGTTGCTGGCTTCACCCAGAACTGTAATGTAAAATGGGAGAGACTAGCTTGGGGATGAGTAAAAGTCTCATGTGCTAAATGAGATGGCAGAAGAGAGCTGGGCAGAGTTTGGCAGGTCCCTCTCACTGGCTTTCTGTCTCATACAGGTCTGGAATTACAAGCTGCGCCGCTGTCTTTTCACGCTGCTCGGGCACCTGGATTACATTCGCACCACCTTCTTCCACCACGTGAGTCTCCCCGCTGTGTAACTTCACTGATATGCACCTCACTGCATTGCTTTATAGGAATCTCTGTGGCTTCCCTGAGCAGGACTCTTTCCTGCAGACATACAGTGCACAAAATGGGCTGGGTGCCACACAAACATAGGAATGCCTGATTTCTGCCCCAAAGATCATTCCTTGGGACAGTTGGTACCTCCAATTGTAAAGCTCACTGGAAGCTTCTTTTCTCCCTCCATTGGCATTTGGAGCACAGATGGGGATATGCGCCTCGTTCTTTGTGCTGGCTAACTTCTCGCTCTTGCTGTCTGAAATCGTCCAAGTGATACTTACCCAGAATAATTAGAATAAGAGCAGCAGCAACATGCACAACCACACATCAGGCCTCTGGTGAGGAAGATGCTAGTACACATCTTGACACCCTCAGGAAAAAAGCCTTTGAAGGCAGTTTCCTTTCTCCTCTGAGAGTGATGGATTATGATCTTGTCCCCGGTAATTCCCGCTGTTGCCCATCTATGCTGAAGCTCTGTATGTGTGCAAAGCGAGGTGTGGCAGAGCCCTGCAGGACACTTGCTGAAATAATCAGTGCTGT